AACCTGATGCAACTTTGAAATAATGTTGAACATTTTCTGATGACTGATAATTGAAATTTTTGGTCGAAAACCAGACACAAATTTGCGAAATAGTTGCAAATCGTCTGATGATAATTGAACATAGAAACGTTTCCTACTTATAGAACAGACTTTTCCCTACTAAATCCATACCAAGACTCTCTATTTTTTACTCATTAATGAGGGAAAAGTGCACGTGCAATAAATATGTATTTTCTTGATCCCCTGGCAGAAAGTACGTACTTTTGCCACTGTTTTCGATTGCGAAAGCATCACTTTTACCCATTACAAATTTTCTTCATCCCGTGTGGAAAGTGATAACTTTCGCCACGCACGCTGACAGATTGACTTTGTCACTGACTGTTTTTACAACATTTTCAAAGCGGTTTTTCAATACCTTATACATTCCCCGGCTAGGTTCCACCCAGGATCAAGAAAAATAGTATACGGTACGCGAGACGAAAGTGGAAAGACCGCCACTGCGAGCATGACTTCAACTTCAAGCAGTGGCAAAATTTCGACTTTCGTCTCTTGTGCCGTAATATACTATTGCATTTAGCCCGCTTGCACCAAGCAGCTCTAAAAGCCGAGATTTACTAAACCATGGCTTAAATCCACTATTCTTGCACCAATAAACTTTCTGCCCCGCTTTAGCCGAGCTTAATGAGAGAAGAGCTTAAGAGAGAATTGAACTATTTTCGACTGTAAACTAACTTCAGAGCGTTCGTTGGCTGCTTCACCTAACCTGGAGATCAGCACATTTTATGTTTTGGTCGAGTTTCAGCAAAAGGACAGAGCTCTTAAAAAGAATGGAAATAATGAAGATGGAATTGAACATTAAAACTAAGCAATTGCATATAGTTTTATTTAGGATTTTTTTCCTCTTGCTTTTACTGTTTTCAATTTAATAAAGCAGATATTTCCATTAAAAAAATATGTTAATTTTAGTTTTATTGCTTTTAATTACTAAATTTAATACCAATTTGAAAAATAATTTATAATCTGTTGTTGAGATTGTAGTGGACCATAGTTATTATGGACCTTGCCATTTTCAATTTGGCCATCCTCTATTAAATAATTAAGCTGAATATGGTCCACTTCCTGCGGGAGTGGAGGTTGCGGCTCATTCATATCACGTGCTATATAGTTTTTATTATCCTCAAATATATCAAAATTCATTATGCTATTTCACAAAACGCGTACAACTAATCAAAACATGCAACCACTTGTGTCTTTACTTACGCATGCAACCATAAATGTTAGGTTATATTTTTGAAAATGCAGGCTTAAGCCGTCAATTTGAGAAGGTATCATTTTCGCTCCTTAAACCAGGCTTAAACAATCGTGCAAACTATTTCTACAATTAAGCTCGGCCTTCGAAAAAGCCAGGCTCATTTATTAGTGGTGCAAGCGGGCCTTAGCACTAAATCTGTTACGAACGTAAGTGCTGGCAACGTCGGCTAGCGGCTCATGCTCAACCTTCTGACGTCAATGTAAGACGGCAGGTTCCTATTGCGTTGCCACACGTTTAAAAAGTCGTGAAATTTCAGAAATTCTCGTAGTTGCACAACAAATCGGAAAAAAGTTGACTGACTTTGAATTTAAAAATACCACACTCAGCATTGGGCAGTCTAGCGTGACTAGAGCGGATTGACCGGTTTCGTTCCGCAAAATTGATTTAAAAAAATATTAATCTTGTATCACCATCAAGCGTGAAAGGACGGTGACGCCGACCCGTATTGTTAAAAATAGACTCGTGTTGTTTCTTTTGCGTAATTATTTCTCTTTCGATGCGAGTAAACAACAGTTGACCGTTCCGGGTCTAATAATGCTCGGCCGCCGCCAGTTTCACTCGAATCAGCAGAGCGATTTGCTGGAAAACTCGATAAATTCCCATCAGCCTTGAACATAGAACGCTTATTCACCTATCCGAGCACCAGGGAAATATACTGCGCAGTTTTTATCCGTTTGTAATGTTTAATGAAATGAGTCACTGCTGACTGGTGAGTGTGAGTTGGTTTATGTGCATTAAAACCTCCAGTAGAATGTCGCTTGACATAACAAATCAGTTCAAAGTGAAGTGAAGTAGTATTTGGGTCGATCAAGCGTGCTTGGGAACACCCTGTCTACTCAACGACATTTGTTTTGTCCTTGAAAGAAGAACATTTTCTCACGGCCTACCAGGCTACTACGGGTCTGCGTGCAGCGTCTGCAACCAATAACCTTGCATCTGCTGGTACGGATGCACCAGAGCATGACACAATGCCTTTCTGGCTACTTTGTTATGTAGTAGGTTTTTTTTGTTGATGATCCGGCCATATGCTGCAAAGGGTGCAGCGACAGTGTGGGAAAATCTAGGTCAACGTTTGGTGGGTTGTTTTGTCGCGTCACAGCCAACGTCGACTCATAATCGAATGCATTCATTGCACATTCATCTGGTACAATGCCTGCCCACGGTGCGAATTATAAAAGCAAAAAGTGCCATTGTACCGGGGGCGATTCAAAACTGGCCTCATTCCCTGGAGGTGTTCACGGAGTAAAAACAAGTGGGAGCAAGTTTTGCTATGTTGAGGTAAGACGGTAATCGTCTGCCGAACTGTACCACTTCTCCTATTGTGAAGACTTTGAAGGTTTGGAGAAACTCGAATTAAAATAAATGCTTTATACATTTATACGGCCTTTATACAGGGCGTCCCGTAACCACATGATCAAAAGGGTACTGCGATATTCTTTGGATCAAAAGAAGGCGATCTGACCTAACTGTTATTAACAAAAAATGTCTGGCTCCTCTGCTATTGACGGTCAAAGTTCCTCAAAAAATGTATCTTTTTTCAATATCGGGAGAATGGTACGATGTATTTTGATGAAACTCGCTGCGAATTTGTTCTTAAGTAAGACTCATATTTTGATGAAACAATTGAGTTCAGCCGTTTTAGACAAGTGGTGAATTCTTGAGTGGCGTGGTACGAAAACTACCAGAACTTTTTATTTGGTGGATCGAGTCAACTCATTTTTTTTCGGTTGATGCACTGATCATTTATTCACAATTTTGGGCTCTGTAAAATCTTGTAGTATTCATAGTTTTTGCGCACAAAAAATATGTCGGTTTTCTTGCCACTTAACAATGTTAGACATTGTACAATAGGGACCGTGTAAAATATATATAAAGGAAATGACAGATTCCTGGGGTGTTAAAACATGATTATCCCAATTTTTTGTTAAAGAGCTGAGTATTTTAACGAAATTCGGCAGACATTTTTTAGCATTATAAATCCAAATCGGACATTTGCAGAACTCGTTGGCAAAGCCACCTACGGCGATGTCTAGACCAGAAACTGCTCACAACTTTTTGGTCATCAGGTACACAGACTTTTAAAAAGGCTAGTTCTAGTCGCCTATTCATTCTACACAAAAAAATATTCTTACTCGATACCCCGACAAGCCTCCGTTTCCGAGAAATTTGCGATTAAACCGCCCAATGCAAAATAGTTTCACGCAATTTTCTCCCCATTCACTGCATAACTAAGGAAAAGCCTCCTTTAAAGGTTGAAAGACTTGCAATTGATAATAATTTTTGTGTATTGAACCGCTGCATTTTACTTAACCTCCTGCTGTGTAGTGACGAACGGCCTTTTTTTAATGCCAAATCATGATATTACAAATGGCACGTACTTCAAAACCGTCGTTCTCATCAGCTTTCTGCAAGCTGGCGCCCTATCTTCCATTTTCGACCCAAACATCCTCCAAAAGTTCGCTACACTTTCACAAACTACTTGCCACAAAGGCCACCATGATTCAATATTTCCCATATAAGAGTGATTATCGACCGACTTCGTCCACTGTCAAAGGCAACCTGAATATTCATAGACTTTTTCGAGAAAAAGACTCCGAACTATAGACTAAACATGATTATTTAATTATTCGTCTTTTTGATGATTCATGCTTTATTTGGCAGGTCGATTTCAGTTTGTTTATTGTTGACATTTTAGCATTGCAATATTTCCAAAGACCAATTTCACTTTCCAACTAAACGAAAAACGCGCCAAGCGCTGATCTTTCACTAATTTGGAAATCTGGAAAACTTCCACCACTTTGATACTAACTTTTCTCAATGAGAATTCGTTGTTGTGTATTGAACCGACCCATTTTACTTAACCTCCTGCCTCCCTGCTGCCTACTAACAAACGGCCTTTTTTTAATGTTAAATCATGACACTACAAATTGCGTGCAATTCAAAACCTTCGTTCTCATTGGCACACTTTGGACTGGACGCCTTCTCTTGAAGAACATCGTGCAAAATAACGCATTTTGTTGGGTCATCGAGTAAGAATACTTTTTTGTGTAGAATTAAGAGGCGGCTAGACCCAGCTAGTTTTAAAATCACCCTACAGGGTGGCTGAAAATTGTAGCAATTTCCTTGCCCAGATATCGCCATCGGTGCAAGTTGTGCAAAATTTGATGGCCGATTTGAATTTCTTGCGTTCAAAAATCTGTATGCCAAATTTCGTTAAAATATTGAGCTCCATAACAAAAAAAAACTGATAGAAAAAATGTAAGTTTGAGCCCTGTATATCGATAACCGTCAACTTTTGGACTAAGCAAAGTTGCGTTAAATCGTCATATTTCCACCGCAGAAATCTGCCATTTCGCTTTGGGAAAGCTTGAATAAAAAAGAGAGACGAATGAAACGGAAACATTTCAATTTGATCAGTTTGTCAACAGGAAGACAGCGATACCCGGGACGCTACAATTAAAATCGAAAACAAGATAATTAATAAACGGCCACAAACTCTTCACACATTTGGACAAACAAAGATTGCGTTGCCTGCCTGACAGGAAGCAAAACAATAGCGTATCGCGGTGTGACGTCACGTCATTGGACGAGACAACGTGACGGGAATATTCGCGTGACGTCACGACAAGGTCTTTTAATTTTATCGCTCACATCGGCAAGATATGAAGAAATAACCAGCTCGACTTACCATTGACCTTAAACGCGGTGCTCGCATCGAAGGACCCAGTTCGCATGGGATGTTTTTCCTGCTTGAATGTTCGTTCGGTGGTCACCACGAACGGCTGGGCCAACGAAACGGCCGGCAGACTTTCGCCTCGAGTTAGGGGCGGCCGAACCATTTGCGCGTCTTGTCGCACATTCGGGTGCTCTTCGACGGTCAACATTCGTTTGCTGCTCACCTCACCATTGGCGTGATGGTGCGGATGGTGATCCTCATCATCAGCAACGGAAAGTCCTCGCTTGAGGTTCTGGGCGGGCAAGTTGGCTTGCCGCGAGTTCGCGGCATGATGGTGAGTTTGTTGCATTGAATGATGGGCTGATGCGGCTGCGGCCAGGTGCGTTTGCATGCGAACATTCGTTCTGCCCACCTGAACAAACACACAACCCGATTGTTAATGGGCGACAATCTAAGGAGAAATTTGAGGAATTGGCATTCATATTAAGAATCGCATTGTAAAGGAAAAATTACCCCAAAAAATAACAGGAGCTACACAGCAGGGACAGGAAGAGAAGTTGGATAGGTATTCCAGAAGTGCTCGGTTACCGTTTGAAAAAATAATCATTTTCTTGCAAGGAATTGCATTTTACGAAAGAAAGAAGAAGAAATTCGAATATTTCGGAAGAAACTCTGTATGGGCGCGGGCTTTTTTTTAGAGCGTTGGTTTATATTTGGATGGTTAAATTTTCCTGTAGGGATTATTAAAAAATATTTTCGGGTGCGAACAAGCTCAAGCGGGCTAGCTAATGGGCCTGGGTTACACTGTGTTGAATTGCGCTATTGAGTTGATGCCGCTCTCTGATTTAATGAGTTATAACTCATCGGTTAATGAGTTAAGTCATTTATTAAACTTTACGAGAACCCAGACTGGAATCTTCACATCTAAAAACAAGGTCATCAACATTTTTTCTGAGTAACATTTTACTACTTTGTTCAAACAACTAAAAAGTAATCTAGATTTAACCAGCAACAGAACTAAGTCCCAATTAATTCGACGAGTTTTCATGTTAAATCGATCTCTTAATTTTTTTGCATAAAAGATTCAATTTGCGAGTATTTTACAGTAAAACGTGAGGAAAAACGCGACTTTTCTGTTTTTAGACAGTGTTGTTTAGAAATATTGACCAAAAAGTGAAGAACCTCCAGTTTACAAGAGTTTTCCAAATAAGTGATTATAAACTCACGTTTTCAGTTGGGAAAAGACCCAGAACTAATTATTATGGTTTTGTCCATAATTCGAAGCAGCAAAAAGTTTTCCAAAAATGTTTGCAAAGCGATTAAAGAGGCGAGTTCCAATAAAATTTATCTTAGAATTTTTCACAGAAAATACCTGAAGTTTGTCAGTATTTCAAGTAAAACTAAAAAATAATGCGATTTTTTGCGTAGAAATAATTGCTTAAAATAAACTTTGTTGAAACCCGAAGAACCTGAAAATTTAAAGGAACTTTACAAATATTCAGAGCGATGAGGGCGGCGAATTTTCTAGCAACATTAATTTTGTCATAGTGATTTTTAGCGTTTTCGATTAAAAACTTTTAGTTTTGTAATGAGTTTAGGAGAAAACTTTAATAGTTTTCGGGGAAAAAACGGGAGAAATTTAGTTTCGTTTTTGTCTCGAATACGACGCGGAACAAAAGGTTTTGTAAAATGTTTACAAAGCTATAAATTTATCTTGTTATTTTTTGCGTTAGACTTAGAGTTCGTCAGTATTTGTAAGTGAAACACGACAAAGTAGAGCGTTTTTGAGTAGAAAGAAAAGCAAAAAAAAATTCCGTCAAAACTAAAGAAATCACACTTTTTAACAGACTAGTTTTCAGAGGAATAAAGGTAACGAGATTTCCAAATAATCTGTTAAACATTCACTTATTCTGTTCGTTATCTGATAGAAAATTGTTTGACTTTTGTTCCAAATTCGACGCTGGAAAAGGATTTCAAAACTTTTTACAAAGCAACTAAAGATGTGAAATTTATTTCATAATTTTTCGTGGAAAAAATATAGTTTGTCAGAATTTTTAAGCAAAACTTTAGAGAATTGTAAAATAAATCTTACGTAAAAAAAACGTATAATCAACATTTTCCCAGCAACGGAACTGAGTCACTGCCCCGGTGCGTGGGGTTAGCGCACCAAGCCATTTGCGTGGCACTGCGCCAACTCCTAAAAATTCACTGAGTTACCCAGGCCTACACCAGCGAATCGTCAGGACCAAATTCCTATCAGCGGCCTTATAACGCGAAAATTGCCGATACCAATTAACAATAGTCAATTATTTATTTTCAAAGATTGTTGAAAAAAAGTTTGACGAAAATCACCAATTTCATGCCGTTGCGGCCAAAAATTTCGAGTGGTGTTGTGTTGCCAAGCTGCGCAAAACGTTTAAGTCCATGAAAATTGTTTCCTTGGATATCTGCAGGTAGATTCATTCAGTTTGGGTCGGTTTAGATTATTTAGGCATTTTCAGTGATTTTTGGCTAAATTTATAAACTATCCAGGATTTTTTTTTAACTGAAACTGCTTTATTTTCTTTAAGGTAAAGCAAGAAAAACTAAAAATTCGGAAGTGGTCAAACCACACGTTCATCATGAAGCAAATAGAAGAAAAAAAGGTACAAGACCACAAAAGAACTCATAGATACAAGACTTAAATGAAGGGAGATTATTAGGAACTTTCGGTATCTCGGTAAATTTAAATGAAAACCTAGAAAAAATTATGGAAACTGCCAACAGTCACCAAGACACAAATCAATATCTTTAATGTTCTTCCATCATTCAGCGAATTGTAACAATTTGATGAAAAACATGCGTTAATAACATTTTCCGTCGCGTTCGGTGGAGAAGTAAAAGAAATAGAACTACAACTATTGCATCACTGTCAGAAAGTTTGAGACACTACATATAGCTTTTGTTGCGATATTGTCATACAAACACCCACGGCCAGTTTCAGTCAAAAAAATGCGGATCTTTTGCAGGAAAACACTTGCAAACTTTTGAAAATCATGTTCAAACGACCCGGTATTTCTCATTGAAACGGAGATTTACATATACAGAGTGATTCAAAATTGGCATCATTTCTCGGGAGGTCTTTTAGGAGTATAGAAAAAATAGTTAAACAAATTCATTGATATTAAAAACTGAAAAATTTGCAAAAAACTATATCAAAAAGACGGCAACATTGTTTTTCTAGGTAATCTGCCTAATTAAGGTTACGCAAATACCTGTTGCTTCGTAATTATTAAAAACTCCGGTAACCATGCATCTATACAAGGTGACAATAAAATAGAAAAGAATAGACGGTAAATTCAACATGGTTCGTTGACGCTTGGAACACATGTCTATGACGCACCTTTTCGAAATGTCCATTATTGTCCTCATAACCTCGAATTTATGTTTAAATATAAACATACATTTGAGTCATTAACTCGAAACAAGTTAGTGCCTGTGTAATCTCCTTATTATCCACTCTTATCGAGAAGCTTCTCATATTCGTTAATTAACTTCTGCTCAATTTGTACCGGTGTTCATCTTCGTCTTACATACGTGGTAGGAGTGCAGCCCTTCCTCGGTATTTATTTGGTGCTTGGGAAAGTGTCGTTATTGTGCTCTGAGTACCCCTGGAACGCTCTGCTGCAATTATGTCCAATACTTGTTCCTCTGTGCTTGGAACCCGAACATCAATTGTCGTCCAATATCTTCCTGGAACCACTCTCCTGGAATATTGGTGTTTAAAAATAAACCATACAACACCTAACATTTGAATGGTTAACTCCAAACAAGCAAGTGCCTGTGTAATCTCTCTATCAACTCCACTCTCATCAAGCAGCTTCTCGTATTCAGTTAATTAACTCCTGCTCCATTTGTATCTCCTTGTGCTGTGTGTATCGTACAAACGTGGTAGGAATATAGCCCTTCCTCGGTATTTATTTGGTGCTTGGGAAAGTGTCAGTTATTGTGCTATGAGTGCCCCTGGAAGGCCCCGATTCGATTATGTCCAATACTTGTTCCTCTGTGCTTGGAACCCGAACATCTATTGCCGTCCACTATCGTCCTGGAACCACTCTCCTCGCCCTTTGTTGGCGTGAGTTCTTACAGCTTCTGGTATCTTACTGTGTCATTTCCCGAAAACTAAACGCATATCCGCAAATTCGTGAAAGGAGCTTCAAAGTAAGTCGCAGTTTGACAAATTATTGTGATTATTGACAAAGGCTATCTACCTGTAACTATCTGTTAATGACAACAAACATCATTGCCGCTTTGACTTTTCATCAAAAAATTGAAGAAAAGAACAATTAATATAAAAAATTTCCTAATTTGAAGTAAAGATCGTAATTTTTCTTTTTGAATGCTTAAATATTCCAATATACTACCAATTAACAATTTCAAATTAATGCTTAATAACAAAGTTAAAATTCGATTTTCAACTGTTAATATCACCTAGAAATTATCGAAAAAATGTTTTTCTATATTTTTCACGTAAGTAATTTTGAATCACCCTATATAGCTTTGTAAATGCTGGCAACGTCGCGGAAAGTTTAGAGTAAATTTGGTGATTTCATTAAAGTTTGTACATGTTTTCTATGACTACGACAATCCGCATTTTGTCTGCTTTCAAGGAAAATTAAAAAGAAAGCGAAACTGACCACATAAAATACCTGTTTACATGAGCACCAAAATGTGCAATCGTTTTCTATGAAAAGCTTAAGATTTTGCCGGCCATCGATTTAACAACCGCGATTTTCTAATTTGAGTATCAGCAAATCGCGTTTTTTGTTCGCATTTACAATTTTAATTTGGTGGGAAAAATTCCGCTTGTTGAGCTTCAATGGAAATTTTACTGCCATACAGAGTGCACTAATTATTGCAAGAATAAAAATCTAACAAAAGGAAAAGACGGTCCAGTTCACTTCCTTAATTTCGGCATATGTCATAATATACCTACGCTGTGTTCCATTAAGAAAAAACTAGAAGTTTGCCGAAGACGAATATTTTTATTTTTATAATTCTCAAGGAAATGGTGGGTTGCAACATGAAACTCACCAAAGCCTCGTGTTCGGACACGCCATCAACTTGAGGTCTGGTCAACCCTTGCGGGACTCTGGGTGGCGGCGGCGGTTGAGCAGTCGGATACCCATCGAGCATAGACATCATTCGCGTATGATGCATGTTATTGGGCTGGTGGTGACCTACGACTTGGTTCTGAGCACGATTGCCCGCTACTTCGCCGTTCTGATGCTCGCGATGCGCTTTCGTGCTGTGGCTTGAGGCACGGGCCTCCTGAAAGCCGTGCGCCCGTTTCATCTGCCGTGCTGCATCGAGAACCACCTCAATCCGATCAGCTCCCTCGTAATTGACGCACCCACGACATACTGCTTCCGTAAAGTCGTGCACCATTGCCCAAGGCATACGGGGCAGATCGCACAAGTAGCATTGTTGCCTTTTGGCCTGTTGCATTTGCATCACCGACATGTTTATCTCCTAATCAATCGTTCACTGCTCGATAGTCTATAGTGTCAGCCTGTCGGCATGTTGACTTCACTTTTAAAAATAGTCCTCAACTGCACTGGGCGTCCGTAGTCCGCGTCGATAAGTTGGAATTCACACTCTCCACGCGAGAAAACCACTTCATTCACATAATCGTCCACATTCGGAAATTAAGTCAGATAGAGCTCACCAAGTCCTGCTAAGCTACGAACATCGGTCCCGACCACACTCGTATCCCTTCGACGATCTCTTTTTGACTAAAAATGCTCGCAACTCACAGTTCTGTGCGGTTGTGCAAACCAGAGACTGAGATATTGGCTGAACCATGTTGCCGCACTGTCGGCCCAAAGACTGTCCCTCCTTCGTTGCCCACCAGATTTTGTTACTGCTTCCCGATACTTGACGATAACTCGCTTCTAACAAAGACCCATTAGAAACCCAATAATGAACTATACAGAACACAGAGCCTCAAAGCACCTGAAACTTCAAAGCAATCCAGTTGTAAGGGACGAATGGCAACAGTGCCAGTACTCGAACCATGCCAGTTACAACCGAAACAGTGCGCACCGCCTGTGACGTATCAGCTTGCCGCCATTGGATGTGACGTCACGGCTGTAACGATTACGGACCGGGTCTCTCCCACCTTCGTGCCTCCCAACCCCCCACCGATGCTCCGACACAAATCAGGCTACGTTGATTGTCCGCCAGACTACAAGAGACTTTTATGAAATGCACTCGAGTAATAAGGGAAATGTTTGCAAGCTGCGTTTAATTGCATCCACAATCGATATTATAATCAATGCTACGTCATATATAGTCGGTCCCAAGCATTTTGGCAGTGACGCAATAATTGTCTTTCTATGTATCATCAAGTTGATACAGTTCGCAAAAGTATGGAAAAATAGAGATGCGCATTTGGTTTTTATTAAGGCGTGCCACTAATAAAGTTTGTGCACTATTTACGCCTGGCACAATTTGTTTCTTATTTTACTCCGGTGGATTCTGCGACTCCTTTGTGCATCCACGAATTCTCAAATATGCTTAGTTCAAATTAGATCAAACAAATTAAAATTAAATCACAACAACGCCTTATTTTATCGGTTCCCATAACAATGCAGTGAAAAGGAAATAGTGCCTGATGATCATTCAGTTACAGCCTGCCTAGAAATTTTTCTAATATTGAAATTTGATTTCTTGGCGAGTGTTAGCAGTTTATCTGAATTTTGCCAAGTTTTCATTTCAATTAACCGATATCTTTTTGTTTGTGCACAAGCAATATTGTGATGGTGAACAACGGCTCATTTTCCTCATATTTTCACCACCATCACTTGGATCTTGTATGAGTTCCTCATTTTTTCTTCTATTTTTTTCATAACTTCACTGCATGTTGACATCTACGAAAATAACACGTTTTAACGATCACAGTTAACGCCAACTTTGATGATTGATGCAAAATAATAGCAAAACTGAAGAACGTAATTGATTTTCCCAACTAATTGTTTACATTCTCCAAATTTCCTGCTTGTTTTCTAGTGCACTTTTCATTAAAAAGCCGATAAACTATTTTCAGAAAAAAAAYACCATATATGTAAATTTTCTGCATACTTTTTCCACAAAATGGTTGAGGTTTTCGCGGCCATCGATTCGACAATCGGTAATTTTCGCTTTGCAAATTATACGTTTTCCTAATAAGCCTACATCATCAATTTAAATAGTATTTTGTATCTAAAAATAAACAAAACTGCAACTGGTTTTGTCTGGGACCATGAATCTTTTAGTTGGGGAACGAAAACACATGCGAATTAATTACAGACGTCCCTTATTTGCGACCTACTCCGGTTTTGTGACGTATCATTGAACACTCGTTGCTCAAGGTATACATAATGTGAAAAAGACGTGGCCATGTAGTCAAATTTGTCACGTTTTCCTCAAAATTATTAGTTCATCGTAGGTCGAACTTCCAAGTCTCTCAATGTTCCAAAACTCAATTTTTCTAAGGAAAACCCCCAGTAAAATATGTGTAGGTAGTGGCAGAACTGGAAAAGTGAGTAGTAATTACAAACCGCTGTCACGGCAAATCCGTTTTCATCATCAAATAAACAGAAGCTTGGGGCTGATAGGTCAAAATAACCATAATCATGTTTTACGATCGAATCCAAAGTAAACTGTTTATGTTTCGTGTAATTTCCAACATAAACACTCAACGTGTTTTCGAATACGTTTAACCGGGTCTGGATAAACGCCATGTGCGTAGATCGGGAAGAATCGGTATTCTTGAATAGAGACACTCAACTTCATAAGAAGCACCATTGAATATTCAAGCAAATTAACCAGTTTATTGGATTTCCAACGCTTTGAAGAGGTCATCGCGTCGATAAGCCTATGGGAAATATTCACGCTGAGCATCCACTAGAAAGTCGATTAATTGTCTCCAATTTTTCTCCAGCAATGACGCACTAGCGAATGAAATTTCGTGAGTTTATGTCGAAAAAAACATGAATTGATGTCAAAGGTATGATTCCACTAATTGAACGTTATCGCTGCTTAGATAATCGATCACACATTTTACTTCATTTCTATAACGCGCTATATGTTTGCTGCCAGATAACCAAGCCACTGACATTTTTATCTTCTAGTTCTTTAAACAGAAAAAAACTCCAACATGTTGCAACTGATAAGCGGACTTAACCGCAAAATCTTGCAATATATTTCAATTCACTGGCCTTTGGCTAATTAAAAGCAGTTTGTTTACCGGACACGCCTGGACGGTCTGATGTTGATGATGATGGTTTGGCGCTATCTTTGCGCCAGATGTTATTGTTCCAATTTGTGTTTTTTTATGTCGCAATACCGTCTGTGCGCTATCTATGCTTCGATTGCTGATAAGCTTGTGTTTATTTTCAGTTTCATTGTATTATGTACTGCATAGCAACAATTTCATTTACGCGCAAAAATTCATGAATGGCCACTTATTCGGAAATAATACACCTGAAAACAGCATGTTCACCCCTTGAATGCCAGTAGAAAGTTCTCAGATTCGCAGCAATAGATTGCAAATAGCTTTTCGACGAACAATTCGAATTCCTCTTAAAATCGGTCTTCCTAAATATCGCAGTTTTTGCACAACAAAAATCTACCTGCCAGCTAACACTGATGTGTCATCCAACGGCTCTATGAAGGGTTAAATGCTACATAAATAACCCAACAGGGATTTTCGACCGATCAATATACCCTCGCTCGGGACTGTCCCGGAGGTATTTTTGCCTCGGCCTGTACTGAAAGCACCCCTGACGTCACAAAATCGATGACGACTCTTCTCACAACGCGCGTTCTCCTCCGTGTGGCCACAGAAAATCCGGGAGAGTTGAAATCCGCCAATTTAATGGTTTTTTTTGCGAACATATGCCCCTCGTAATACCACTAGCCAGCAACTAATTGTTTCTTCTATGTAAAGGAGCGAGAGGCGATTAATGGTTGTCATGGATACCAGTTTGTCTATTTCACATTTCCTGCGTATATGAGGGTGATTCGGAAGTTTGTCAATATTCGAATATTTAGTAGGTCTGCAAAACATAGTGGCAAAATGCAGTTTTCAGTAACCGCGCTGTGTAAGTGTATATTTTTACCATGCCATTAACCAGGGTTATTTTAGGAATGTTTCTCTCTGTTAACTGATTTTATGGTCGACGCCATTCTCGTCTCGTTCGCATGTAACTGAAGTTTGCGTGTTTTTCTGATTAATTTTAGACCGTTCCTCTCTTGCTCCCCCGATTTGCGTGCCGGCTAATTTTAGTCAGGGTCCCCATTTCCGTTCCCACTGTTGCCACGTGGTACTTCAGCCCCCCCGGTTAGAGAATTTTTCAAAACCTATCATTCATGCAATGCCGGTTAGTTGAGTGCCAAAACAATACCGGCAACAAGGCAATATTCCCCATTGACTTTAATTTCGCTTACGTGGCGTGACTGTGGTCGTTAAAAAGTTTCAACTTTAGCGTTGCACTTCGCTGTTGTGTGGGCTGCATCCACATGGGCTATTTAGAGAAATTCCATGGAAATCGAAATGCAAACGTCCGGCCGATTGCCAGCCAATGTTTCTCATTCCTGTCCTCCAGCTTTGCTTCCTACAGCCTCAGTAGGATTTTCGAATTTATGTGGATCATTCAAGGCTACGCTCACAATACTTAGTTAAAATTAGCAAAGTAATAATAGCCGTTATCGGTTTCGATCATTCTTCAATCATCCATAACACTCCTCGATTTTAATTAATTGCCATCGAATCCCATTCCTATACTATACAGGGTGATTCATAGGATTCAAGACGTGCATACATTTTTTTCCTAGAAAATCGTGCGTCGCACGCAGTCAGTTTTTTCACCGGAAATTCGTCTTCCGGTCGTCCTGCTACGGTCTCCTGAGGACCCAATCATTAACGCGCCCTCAGTTGCTTGCCATTTAGCGTTCAATTCCTGCTAGAGCTTTTTGTAAGATGCCTGTCCATTTACAAAAGAATTTGGACCTCAAACCCTCAATTTTTCGCAATTGAGTATTTCAACTTGCTATGTTGTGTTAGTGCTTTCAGATTTTTTTCCTGTTGCTTAGAACCGGCACGATCTGCCAAAGAGCCTTTATAAAGCCGGCAACAATGTTTTATTGGTTTCGAGCCAGTGGCATGCCTGAAAAGCTTGACCCATTTGACTCTAATGTATGCCAAAGTTGCGCTGTATCCCACGCCAAATCCGGCAGTTTTGATGACTTTTCGCAACAAGATAAGTAGACTTGAATGCATTTCAAAGTTGTTATTGCAAATCAACTTTCCAAACTGTCTACTATGACGTTTGCTGTTTTCGGTCTAACTAACAAGTCAATTAGACATCTTTGTATGTCAAAGTTGTGCTGCCCTCTAGGCACTGAAGGGGTGAAATAAATGCTTTAGCAAGTCAGTGGAAAACCATTGTTTTTGAAAATTGTGTTTTGAATCACCATGTATATTCCCTCAGATAATGTTCGAATCGCCTCAAAAATAGGCAGAGGTTGCAAGAAATGTTAATTTTCCTCAATCAATACCATTAAAAAAAATAGAAAAATCGCATCAGTTCAGTTACCTACCGCGCGAGATAAGTTATGTAAACTAAGGCTAAGGCCACCAAGTGCGTCACATCGATGTGCGATTTACGTCAAACAAGGGGAAATAAATGAAATGCGGTGTTTATTATATAATTAGGCCTGATTCCGTTGGACGAATGCGATAAAAATAGATTATCTCCGAGTTCGCAAATATTGACAAACTTTGTTCGATGTTGATAGAGGCTTGTCATTGATTGTTTTGCACATGCACACCTAAATCTATGGAGGATCCCAAACACATGTCTAGTTCCCAAAATTAAGTACTTTTGCATCCAAATGAAAAGGCAACGACTAGGAAATTTAAGACGCTGTACCAGCAGCAAATGAACCTGGAAGTGGTCAAATGACCGAAGTGACGCAGTTGCAAGGGAGTGGAACTCAATTGAACTGTCAACGTCAATGTGACAGGATTTGTTGCGCAATTGACGGCGCGCTCATTTGATTTGCTCCATTAAGCCATGGTATTTGGATGCGTGGACATTTGCATAATATAACGGGATTGTCGTTATAAATGGTTGAAATGGCTGTTATCTGCGTTTATAACCCAAACAAGCTCGTGAGCAACTGATAGCGAATGAGTTGCGCTATTTTTGGTAACAATAACACGACAAAACAAATAGCGAACAGGCCAGGACAGGGAAACATTGAGTGAAATGCGATGGGAAGCGAGTTGTGGTGCCGGTTAACAAAAAACGGCATTGAGTGCGGTACTGTCTGGTGATTAAATGCGAGTTGGCTGGCCAAAGATCACAATATCATGCTGGGACACGTGAAACGAGCGTGGTATTACCGGGTAAACAAGGTTTGACGTAATGGGTTTCCTTTTCGATCCCGTTGTCGATGTTGTCGCCTCCATAAAAAAATCATCAGGTTTGGATGCAGCCAGTGCCAAGTGCCATTCCAATTCCGAGTCCACGTGGCGATATTTTCGGCGTCCCCAGAAATGACACGCTTTCTTATTTCGGTCTTTCGTTATTTATTATTATCGCTTTGAAGGTCGTTGCGCCTCGTAACAGCGAAAGTTAATTGGGCAACATGCATAATCGCATGCATAAACAGGTTCACTTTGAAATTGTTGCGGTCGCATGGCCAGACTGTCTTAACGCGCAAATTTGGCAATGCCTATAGGGATAATGGAGGATATTGCAAAGAAAAAACGCCGACTGGATAACGAAAATCAAGCACAAACAGTATTTGTTTTTGACTAAATGTCGATAGCGATAATATTTTTAGCTGGCTATATCGGCCCAACTGCATTGGCCGCGATTTTTTCCAGTACGCGCTGGGTAAAGGCCGGAATTTGTTGTTTTCGTGATATGAAAACGTTTATGGTCCAAATTCTACAACTTTTTGGCTGGCTGGTGTAGTTTAAACACAACGTGCTGGTCAATCTATGTGGGGTTTTAGCCTATCGATTTTCTGGAATTATTTGGGTTTTTAACTTTGCTTTCGCCAGCAGATATTTTTCAAGAACATTCGGCGTTCGTAGTTAAAAATTTTCCCACCCTATCGATGATTCCTTTGCTAACATATTTTCCTAGTGGTGTTTCTTGCCAACATGCGGGTTTCCAGCACTTTTCGTTCATTGCGATTCACTATGGGCACAAGCGTCTAGAAAGCGGCCGGAATTATTGCACCAAAGCAATCAGGGTCACTCTTTCTCCAACCTTATGGCGGGTATTTCAAAAAGACGATGAAAAGTTTCCCGGTGGAAACATAAGATTTTAAACAAGAAAAGTATACGATATATCATCACCATCCCCCCTAAAATTAGGTTTACATTATTTAAGGCGCAAAAAATTTATAGTGTCAAAAAGGAAAAAAAGAGAGTGGCAAATTTTCAAAATATTTTATCCGTAACTGTAGTTACAATTAGACATAATCAATTTTTCTTGAGTAAATTACGATAATTATACCTCTAAAGGGGTGCATTTTAGGACACATGGTTATAGGAAGAAAATGTAGGTATTATGACAAAAACTCGAGTTCGTAAATTTCTTCTTCAGATTCTTCTTTCAGTTTGAATTGTAAAAATTCGTCTTTGCTTCTAGTGTTTTACTTCCGGAATAAGATTTAAATTGTGCATTTGCTCCATGTGAGCTAACATTTCATCTTTGAGATAATGATTGACATCACCCAAAGAGCATTCTATTAAACGGTGTACTTTAATATCTTCAGGAAACTTTCGACCATGACTAATATATGAGTTCATGTTATTAAACTGCTTTGCACAGGATTTACACTGAAACTTTTTTCCAGGAAAAATATCTGTTATCTTCAATTCCGGATGCATAATTTATATGTAAAGTTTCACACTATACTTCCGGCTAAAAACTTTAAAACCAACACAACTTTTTCAAATCAAAATGTTACACAGGCAGGTAGTGCGTTGGGTATTACAGCTATTTTCAGGTTATGTGAAACGCTCGCTAACTGCGCAATCTGATTGGTTTGGTGCAATAATTCCGGCCACTTTCGCTAGACGCTTGTACTATGGGCAGGCCACGATGTCCCCTTGTCTGTCAAGCTGTTCGGAAAATTTTGCGTGTTTGCCAACTCAACATTTTGTTTCTCTTTGATGTTTTCTTACACACATTTTGTAGCTATTTGGATGAGTTTCAATTTTTTTGGACTCATTGGTGGTGGTATTTTTCGTTTTAACAATGCGTCTTCTTCTTAAAGTGTCCTGCAGATTCCTGCGTAGACTTTCATCTTTTCCCTTATCAGATGATTCTGTTAATTGCAGCCCTTTGTAATGTTTGTTAGTCACCAGAACTTTTATCTGCCCTCTTTTGAAGAATGAGGCGCTGAAAGTGGAAGCGTTCTCCGTGCACTACCGTTTCTCCCAATTGTATCATACATTTGGTTAATTTCTAAATCTAGTCCTTGCTTTTCTACGTTGACCCGATTTAGTAGATCTTGGAGATCATGTGCACTATCTGCTAGCATCACTGTCACCCGCATACCGAATGTGTTAAGAATTTGCCACTTTGGGCGAAATTTGGCAACAAGTTATTAAGCATTCCTCTATGTTCGTACATCATGATGGCGCCTTCTTTTATCTTGCTCGTTCAGGTTCAAAGTGAATTTTCACAAAAAAACATCAATGGAAAAGTTGTTGGTTTAGATCCCTATACGCGAGGGCCTCATTTTGTCGAAAATTTCCGTCAAAACTCACAATTTTTATCAGTGTTTTTATGTACAAAGCTCAATTATTTATAATTTGAAAGCTTCAAACATTGTCAAAATTAAGCAAACAGTTGCGGATCTCTGGCCGAGTGCTGCAACTAAAATTTTCCAAAACGTCCGAAATCTTCCTAGTAAAAGAAAACCAGTGATGTTGCTTTGGAATTCATGCGCGCCTCTTTAGCTCAGTGGTAGAGCACTGGTCTCGTAAACCAGGGGTCGTGAGTTCAAACCTCACAGGAGGCAGTCAATTTTTTCTTTTTAATGAAAATTTAAAACGTAATTTAAGTTTTTTTATTTAATCCTGAGGTTCAGTTTTAACCTGGATGATTGTATTGTTTACTGCTTGCATCTCAGCGTCAAAAATTAGACCGCTTATTTTGTGTTGCAGTGTGATCTGCGTCCTCTGGTCCATTTTTCTCAGCTTTTCCGCAATGTACATGCTGAACAGAGCGAACTCATCATACTGTTCTGATCCCGGTGCACTGCTGAGTCGCTCGGACTCCATTTCGGTTTCTGGAAGTTCTGCTGTGTCATTGTCAAATTCAGAGTGGTCAAAGGTGGCAACCTCAACGTTCTGATTCCGGTTGTCAATGAAAATGTCATCCTCGTCGTCTTGTATTTCTTGCGGACTGTCCAATTCGCGCTAGAATCCGAGCATTGTATGATGGGCGATTTCCGATAGGAGAAGTTACTCACATTGGGTTCGATGTCGTTTCGTTGGTCGGTGTCCAAAAACAACATTGTGTCCCAAGCAAACCAAGTAGAGTGGTACGTTTGAGCCGTTCCTGCCACATAATCGCTCTACATCTAGCTACCACAGATAGACACAATCCAGTACATACCTGATTGGATCTTTTTGCGCAGACGATACCGTTCGCGTCTAAACGCGCCTCGCAGCTGAGACACTCTCAGCTTCAGAACGTCCATATTCTCATTGAAAATGTCACTCAACTCGGCCCAAGCGTCATTCTTTCGAAGACGATCGTTATAATCAATGTGGTCCTTTCTCCATAAAACCGGCCGCTTTTTGTACTCGTTGAGCAATCGGAGTGAGATTTCTCTATCTCTGCTCATGGTTGGATACGAGGCAACGCAAACCGCACGTAGCATTAACTTTACTGAAGGCAAATGGCGATTTAGAACGCTTAGAGATCGATGCTCGAGGCAATGTGAAGCGTTACTTTTTGCTACGTTGCCAACTCCCTTACTAGTCCCAGGTAGTGGTAGAAAGGCGATTTACGTTGAATCAACAGGGTTGACTTGGGAATTTTGCTTTTGTGTTTAATTAAAAGATGAGACTGTCGGCGGTTTACGCCAAGGCTGACGTAGTCAAGATTGCAGATCAAAGCAAAAGAGGTTTTTGGATTTTGCTGAATGTGTCTCCAGTAAAACCAAACCGCCACTAAAAGATCATCGGCTATCGTGTTCATGCAAACCACTAATTTCACGAATATCCATTTTGGGCTGCACCCAGGTAATGGACCAATTGATTTTTAGGCCCATTTTTATTTAATCCTGATTTTATACAGACGTATCAGGTCGACGGGTACGTTTGAACTGCTCGTGTCACATAATCGCTCTACATCTAGCTACCACAGTTAGAAACAAACCAGTATATACCAAAAATCTTCGGTGTGTGGCTCATCAGACTGATTGTGCTGCATGCCTACGATAGTCGCTACATCGCATGGCATGTGCTTTTTTCGGTACGCTAACAAACGGCGATATCAGCCAGTCTTGCGGTATTATGCTGGATTCATAGATTTTGTTGAATAAGTTATTATATTACAGGGTGACTCAAAATTGGCGTCATTCCTCTGTACAATCAATTAATTGTTATTAAAAACTGAGAAATTTGCTAAAAACTATATCAGAAATACGGCAGCAATGTTTTTGAAGGTAATCTGCCTAGTTAACATTGCGAAAATACCTGTGGCTTCGTCAAGCATCTTCTCATCTTATCAAGGAGCTTCTCGTATTCAGTTAATTAACTCCTGCTCCATTTGTATCTCCTTGTGCTGTGTGTATCGTACAAACGTGGTAGGAACGTAGCCCTTCCTCGGTATTTATTTGGTGCTTGGGAAAGTGTCAGTTATTGTGCTCTGAGTGCCCCTGGAAGGCCCTGATTCGGTTATGTCCAATACGTGTTCTCTGTGCTTGGAACCCGAACATCTATCGTCCACTATCTTCCTGGAACCACTCTCCTCGCCCATTGTTGGCTTGAGTTCTTTCAGGTTCTGCTATCTTACTGTAGCATTTCCCCCGAACTAATCGCATATCCGCAAATTCGTGAAAGGAAATTCAAAGTAAGTCACAGTTTGACAAATTAATGTTATTATTGACAAGGGCTCTCCTCCTGTAACTATCTGTTAATGACAAAAAACATCATTGCCGCTGTGCCTTTTCATCAAAAAATTGTAGAAGAGAACTTTTTTGATATCAAAAATTTT